TCAGATTCAAGTTTGCAACCAATTCCATTTATGCATCTCTAATAATGCTGGATTGAATCCCTCTTTGTGGTTTTGGAATATTGATCAGATCTTGTTTTCTACACAATTTTCGGTTGTAGGATCAATTGGGTATAATTGGGAAATAAACTCGGCATTGCATTATTTTAATGTTATTAAAGGGTTGATCAGAGGGAAGAAAACAAAAAAGTGGCTTAGTAGTTGAAGAATCAAAATGGATTTGGGTAGTAAATATTTGGATAGAAGGTTTTCGGATTATTGGAGAAGGATGAGTGGAAGGCTGTTGCTATAGCTATTTGCTGCTGCCATTGGCAACTTTTTGCAAGGATGGGACAATGTACAATTGCAGGTATGTCCCATTGTTTTATCATACTCATTGACTGTCTTGGTATATAATGTATATTGATTTTCTTGAAAATCGCTTTTCTATTTGATGCAATTTATAACCACTTGGTCTCTGTATGATATCTTTGTTCTTCTTGTTCATTGATTTAGCTATCCATTTCAATGAATGTTGTCCATCTTTGTATAAAAAGATTCTTAAACATCACTTCACTACATCTGTTTTGAGTTGAAATCATTGCTTTGGCGAGGGTGGGTTTTGGCACAACCACGGTAAGGTTTGCTCTTGCGATTGGCATCATGGGTTCATACCCGAAAACAGTCTCTCTGCAAATGTGGAGTAAGGTTGTATTTATTTAACCCTCTCCTAAGATCCTTTTATTAGCGGGAACCCTTGTGCACTTGGACTACTTTTTTTTTCTTTTTCTTTTTTTTAGATATTATGGATTGTTATGAATGTGAATAAAACAGAAAAATGAGAAAAGTAAAACATAGAATCACACAAGAAACAAAGATACATATAGTTTGACTATGCCTTTGTCCCACGCGTGAAGAACAATAGAGATTTTTACTACCAAAAGAGGAGAAATTACAAAGAGTGCTGTTTTTCCCTCCAGCCATTTGTACAAAATTTCTTCATAATATCCATTACCCTAATCCCGCCAAAAGAGCCCTATAATATATTTTACTAGATCCCGAATAAAAACAAGAACTGAGTTTGGAACCTAACGGTTAATCAGGCCGTGGAGGTTTACCAACGGTTTTTTTAACGTAACCCGAGTAGAATTGAAGACACCCAACAAGTACAGTGTTGGTAAATGGACATATATTTGTGGGTAGTAAGGTTAAGCTATAGAGCTTCCTGAGTGTAATCAGGCTTTTAACAGGACATAGTATGTCTTTTGAATCTTTATTAAAATTAACTTGGATTTTTAGTGTTTGCCTGTCAACTATTTTTGGTTATAATCTCAAAATCTACTGCTAAAAAGGACACACATCTGATCTCAATCTGTTGCAGGGTCCGTTCTTTACATTCAAGAAAGAATGTCAATTTTGCAAGGTGAACCAACAATTGAAGGCCTAATTGTGGGCAATGTCATTAATTGGAGCAACAGTGGATCCAACATTCTCTGGAACCCGTATCGACTCTGTTGGTCGTCGTCCCCATGCTGATAACTCATCAGTTCTTTATTTCCCTCAGCGGCCTAGTAATGATTTGGTCTCCCAATGTTATGTTCTGCTAATAGCAAGAACTGTTTGGATGGGTTCGGAATTGGCCCCCTAGCGCCTTTGTTACTCTCGTTCCTGTGCTAATATATCCGAGACAGGCCCCAACCAGAAATAAGAGACTGTTAAATACTCTCCCACAGTTCACCGGTTTCTGCTGAGCACATTCACGCACTACTGTATGGTCTTTGGAAATGTCACTGATGGATGCACCAAGCTAGGAGGTTTGATGCTCGGGATTCTTTCTATTTCCTTCTGTTTGTTTTATTTCGTTTTGAACAGTTATGTTCCTGCCTGAATCTCCGAGGTGGTTAGTGATAAAGCCGGATGGTAGAGGGCTAAACAGGTCTCTACGAGAGACTACGTAGCCGGGAAGATGTTCTCAGGTTCCGATCAATACTCTATTTTCTTGTGAATGGCAATGTTTATTTTTTTGTACACATATGAAACAGGAAACTGGCACGTTTATCAAATGACTCCTAAATATTTTCACACCTTAATTTCTGTTTATTAGTAAATGGTTTTATTTTGTCCTCAAAGCACACAAGAAAGGAAACTGACAACTTTATCAAATGAATCTCAAAGTTGTCTTTTTAATGCATTCATCATTTTCTCTGTGAATAATTCAGTACACATATAAAAGTTATTCTACCTAAACCGAAGAACCTACTTCACTATCAAGGCCTTTGATGTGATTTTTTTTCCAGAATTGCTAAGTGTTTGATATTTAATTTGGAACTAGAACTCCGAATTAGGTCATCTCAAATTAGTGGAATCCAAATGAATAATTTTTGTAGTTAATATATCTTGGCATTGCGAAATGAAGATATTGTATGCAGTTCCTCAATATCCAATTCATAATATTAGTTGTTGGTATCCTCGACAGATGAAAGCTAATTCTGATTTGGGCACTTTTCTTTCACTGTTCCTTATTTCACAATTAGTTCTGAAAGACTAAATTCTCTTTGGGAGTCTTTGATTTTCCCACTTGTTGAAAACATAAGTGGAAAAAAAAAAAAAATAATGAAAAAAAGTTATTCGACACAATTTATGAATTTTCTCATCTTAATTTGTGGTTTTTTGTTTTTATGCTCAAAGGCGAATGCCTTTGCTTGGTCGAAGGACTTGGTGCTGCAGAGCGAAACACTATAGAAAGAGTACATAATTGGGCCGGCCACGAGCTTGGTGACAAACCGGAACATGTTTCAAGAGAAAGATCAAATCAGGTTATCGGCGCTGAAGAAGGAGTCTCATGGATTGCAAAACCTGTCACCGGTTCAAAGCACACTTGGTCTTGTTTTCCCGCTATGGAAGATGGCAAACCAGAGCATGTCTCTCCATCGATCAATGGTCACTTCTCTTTGGAAGTGTTTCATGAGAAGCTTCCAAGAATATGGGAGGAAGCATGCGAAAGCATGCTTTTCCCCAACTTTTGGAAGCAAATGTTCAACGTGAATATCAAGGCCAAAACTGACACGTGGACGTGGAGAATAGCTGATCACCAGGCCGTTCCGATGCCTTCTGGGGCTGAATCAGATGAACAATTTACGTAGCCCCTTGTTGTCAGGCCAGTTCCAAACGTGGATGAAGGAAATGGGAGAAACAGTCAGTGGATGGGGATTGGAGGTGGTTGGCAGCTGCTTATAAGTGGCCGAGGAGAAAGGCAAGATGGTAAAAAGGCAGGAGGGCTAAAAAGGATCTAATTTGCACCAGGAGACAACACCTGGATCAAGGCAGGGGTCGATTTTTGTCGCTTGTGGGCGGTGATGCTCGCCGTTGAGA